CTACAACAATTACCACTATGTAGTGAGTTCGAGCCTTACTGAATGCCTCTACATTCGGCCTTTTGCCACATCTAAGCTACGCGTGGAAAATCGCTATAATAAATGTGATTAGCAAAAAAAAAAAAAAAGTGACGAATATTATTTATTAGTGAATTTACCATCTCTATTATAATACATTCAAATTTATTTACAAGAGTGAAAATGTTCTTTTTTTAATTTAATTTAAGATATTGTCAATTATCCAGTAAATGTTTAAACTTCTAAGTCTGTTTTTTTTTTCTCTTATGGTTTTGATTCGTTAACCCATATTTAGGAGTGTTTGACATTTTTTTCTAAGCTATCATACATTTTTCGATGTTGTCTATTAGTTCCCTCGCTGTTGCTTGTCATCTGTTTTTGATTAAAAATTATTGGTATCTTTTGCGGAAAAAAAAACTTACAATAGAATTTAACAAAAATGATTTACAAAAATAAAATATTCATATAAAATCAGAGAGAACATCTTCGAAGTTCAGTCATTGCTGAACCGGAAAGACAATACAAAAGATAAGAATTGGAATTAGACAATTACAATAAAACCATATCCGATTGATGTTATTTTAAACAGATGCCTTTTTTTTCATATATTCTTCAATAGATTCCAATGACATTTTCGCTTTCTGAAATGAAGACGCTGGCAGTTTCAAAAGTTTTGAAATAATATTTTTGAAAGAATATATTTTATTTGAAAGAATATTTTTCAGTTTAGCCAAACTCATTTGTATTCTTTTTTTCTATTTCTCTCCATCACCTTTTTTCTTGACTATTCCACATTGTGACAACAGAAAATCTACCAAGAAGGTCATATATTCTAAGAGCCTAGACGCAAATTTTCCGTGGCTGAACTAGCGATTAAGGTTTTTTCCAGATATTTTCATCTTAGTGGATTATTTTCATTTTAATCAAAATAGCATTCCTTATGTCAAAATTGTGGTCAGTTTCGGTGAGCAACCATTGCGTTTTGTGTGATTTTTTTTTAATATGTCCCTTTTGTTTTCATATAGTTGTTTGTTTAAACTTTTTGAGGTTTCTCCAATATATACTTTCTAGCAATTCCTACACAGTAAATTTCTCCTTCCTTTGTCTTGTTAGTTTGCTTTTTGTTGATTAAGTCTTTGATTTAGATGTCGCTGTGATAAATTTTAGGCTGTTTGGAGATAACTGGGATTGTCAGAAAGGACCGCTCTTCTATTTTGAAATATTTTTTCCGCATTGAATATGAAATAGTTAGGATATTGAAGGGTTTTATCATTATTATTTTCAACATATTTCTCTTCGTGTAAATACGACAGCAAATTCTGAGTGCTCTTAAATAGAATCCAATAAGCATTTCGGATTTTATTTTGTTATGATGGGAATAGAAGTTTATTAAATCATTTTTATTGGTTGATTCTCGGTGGACACTAAGTTTTAGATTGTTGTCAACTCAGTGTACCATGATGTTTAAGAAAGGTAAAGTATTTTTTTTTCCTGTTTCGTATATAAATTCTACTGTGTGTTCGATTTTGTTTAGTTTATCTACAAAATCCGGTAAGTTAATTTCACGGGATATAATAATAGAGCATCATTAATATATCGGAAATAAGTTGATTGTTTAGGTAAACTGCTTTGGAAAGAACCAGACTCGACGAATTCGAAATACATGCCATCACTCCAGTGAGTGGTGATCCCATTTGTAATCCACCCTAGAACTCCAAATCTTTACGGTTTCAAAACTGGTATCCATGCACATCATCAATTCTGGAATAGGCAGCGCCCCACTACGAAATAGCTCGGGCCGTATTAAAATATTAACCCTTCTCAATCATTGTATATAAAAATTTCAGGCAAACTTATTGAAAATCTAAGGGGAACAAATATGTCGGATAAACTCATGGTCAGGCTAAATATAAAATAAATTTACACGAATATCCCACTTGAAACATGCTTAAACCTCATTAAAAATATCTAAAAATCAATGATAAGCTTCTCCCTACTATATAATTAAAATAATAATCTGCCGTCTCATCACCAATCAATGCTATTTAACATTCAATAACAGATTTTACAAACAAATGGTATAGAATAAAATTTACATACGAAATCGTAAAAAACAATACCTTTCTTAGACATCGTGTTATGTACCCATGTGTAAACATGAAAACATCAACAAATTCCAGTTCGATGACATTGTAACGGATAAAACCCGTCACAATTTTTTTTTACAATTTGTCATATTATATATATATATATATATATATATATTTGAAGAAATCTAATTTTAAGGTGAGCTATATTTATGGGATAAAGTGCTCAATATCAGAGATAGAGCGTATGATAGTATAAATATAAAAGTGAACATTAAAGTCAACACTCAGAGGCGACAGGCCGTTTGATGCTAGACGCAATCATCAGGCCTGACGATTGTGTCCAGCATCAAACGGCCTGTCGCCTCTGAGTGTTGACTGCACTGTTCACTTTTTATATATATATATATATATATATATATATATATATATATATATATATATATATGGGGGTGTAAATATATATATATATATATATATATATATAGTCTTAAGGTGTGCTGTATTTATGGGATAAAGTGCTCGATATCAGAGACAGAGCTTGTGTAAATATAAAAGTGAACATAGAAGTTGACACTTAGAGGCGACAGGCTGTTTAATGCTATATGCAATCGTCAGGCCACGTGTGCTGTTATTTTTCTCGGCTATTTATATATATACGGGTCAGTGGTGCATTGTGGTAGTCTATTATGTTAGTTATTTTATCGGAAGTCGTTTATTTATTTATTTGGGTTAAATTATTTTGCTTGTTTTTATTTATTTTTATTTTTTGTTTCTTATTTTATTTATTTATTTATTTTTTTAATCGGTGTTTTTATTAACGTAGTAAAAGTTTGTTTATATCACTTATTTAATAGTTTTGTTTTGGTTTGAGAATTTAATTAAAGCTATTTGTTCGGTTTTGGGGTTGATTGTTGTAGTTTATTCTAACTATTATTTTGGCAGGAACAGTTTTTAATTTGTGTTTATTTGGGTTGATTATCTTTATTTGTTTTTTCTAACGGTAACTTTATCGGGATTGGTTTCTTTCTTTATTTACTTGGATGAATTTAGGTCAATTTATTTTCTCTTTTCGGTTTTCGTTATATTTTTCTGTTATATAACAATAACAAAATTAAAATAAAATTTGTTTATGTGTATATATATATATATATATATATATATATATATATATATATATATATATATTTTATGTGTAAAAGGGACTGAACGGGGAGGGGCAATGCGTTTACAAGGCTGCGAAAATACTTTTGTATATAGTCGAGGCTGGAAAGTAAACACCGGGTAACTCCCATCCAGATGAGGCAGGAATCCTCTATGATCTACTTTTTGTGGTAGGTATTATCAAATCTATTCTTCATATGAAAGGAGATCGTCTACCATTCACTGCCATAGAGAAGGATCAATATTCTCATAACAGTTCAGTATTTTTTTTCTTTGTTTCTAACGATTTTTTTTCTATTTCTTAATTTTTTGCTTAGTTTTTGGAAGGCACTCTTCACTAATCTAATACGCCGCATTCGCATTTCTCTTACACATTTTGCCGTCCTCTGTTAACGATTTTCAGATATTTAAATATTCTTATAGCTTGATTTTGACATCTCCAGTTTGTAGTTCGCATCCTGTCTTTCTTATCTTGCTGACAGCCGTACATTTTGTCTTCTTGCACATTCTTATGTTTAGTCCTTTCTTTGCAATTTCCTTTACTAAATTTTCTTGGAGTCCATGTAGTTTTCTATCTGTGTCTATTATCAATACTGTGTCGTCTGCGTATTTTCTTTTCTTAAGTTTGCGTTTACCAATAATAAATTTTGTTAGCACTTCTACTTTTAGAATCCTCTCACTGTAAAGTTTGCATAAGTCTGGTGAGAAGACATATTCTACGATTATGTCCCTTTCTATTTATAGCCTGGTAGGTAATTTCTATTAGGGGTGCTGACTGATTTGTCCAGAATTTTCTTTTTTTTTTTACCGAAGGATCGTATATCCGAGTTCCACATGGTCTGCCGTGAGTCCCAATAAACATACCGGGCCTCCTTGAGTGTACAATCGAGAAACTTATATGCATTTGTGGAGCGGTTTACATTATTTTATGTGTGAGTTATCAACTAGGATCCTATACATCCGTTAATAAATTTGTTCACAATTTACGTAATTATATGTCAGTTTACGTCCCACATATAATTCCTAGGCTAATAGTCTTTTTGCTATTACAAATCGCGAAGAGAAGTATTGTCCGTGCTAAGGCTGCAAATTATGTTTAGAAAAAGAGAAGGAAAAATATGGCCTTTACCTTAAACTCATCGAATAAAAACCAGTATATTTATTGATTTTCTATAACGACTTGGGAAGCCAGAATGCCCCTGTAGAAAGAAAAAAATGGGGAAAGGAGGCCAGGAATGTCTACACATATGCAGTAGTTTCTAACCGACTACTTAGATCCCTCACAAGTACAGTTGACCCTGCTTACCTGTCCCGGTTAGTACATAGTCGAAATATCGACCCATTCTCTAGGGAGTTGTAATAACGCTTTTGGCGGGAGAACTTAGCTACGTTCGTCACAATAGGGCTCTTCTCTATTTGACAAGCTTTTATACTCCAAGCGAAAGATTAAAAAAAGAAATTCCGGGTGTGTTGCTTATCAAATGGCCTTTGTTTTGGGAAAATAACAAGGGGAAAATTTAGCACTGAATAATCATTTTTATTACCCTAGAACTCAGACTTATTTTATTTTTTGTATTTTATTTGCAGCTCTTGATTTTAGCTTATTTTCAGAGACAGACAAGATCGTTCGAAACCCCCGGATTTCATAATCTCACGTAGTATAAGATGGAGAGAATAAACAGAAGAAGCCTGACCAAAATAAGTTTCAATTTGATACACATTCCTAATTAGGACGGAAATTTCCCCTGTGGCGATTTTCGAAATCTATCTCACCTCATTTTTCGTTTCTTTTTTTAAACTGTTTTTTTTTTCTTTTTATGTTTCTTTTTTTTTTTTCCTCGCTGCTTTTCTTATTTCTGGCCCCAAAGCTGCTACATTGTTTTTTTTTGCATGCACGATGAGATACACTCTGCCATTTATACTTGAGGCTTTTCCTTTCTTTTCATCAAATTTTGTCACGTTTTTCCCAGCAGAAAATTTTATTTTCAACAGAATCAATTTTCCCTCAACACATTCTTTGTTTGTCTATTTCAGTTCTTTTATCCCCATCATATCTCTCTGTCTATCTATCTATCTATCTATCTATCTATCTATCTATCTATCTCTCTGTCTATCTATCTATCTATCTATCTATCTATCTATCTATCTATCTATCTATCTAGGCTGTTCCTTATCCATCTATCTATCTATCTATCGAGGCTGTTCATTATCTATCTATCTATCTATCTATCTATCTATCTATCTATCTATCTATCTATCTAGGCTGTTCCTTATCCATCTATCTATCTATCTATCGAGGCTGTTCATTATCTATCTATCTATCTATCTCTCTGTCTATCTATCTATCTATCTATCTATCTAGGCTGTTCCTTATCCATCTATCTATCTATCTATCGAGGCTGTTCATTATCTATCTATCTATCTATCTCTCTGTCTATCTATCTATCTATCTATCTATCTATCTATCTATCTATCTAGGCTGTTCCTTATCCATCTATCTATCTATCTATCGAGGCTGTTCATTATCTATCTATCTATCTATCTATCTATCTATCTAGGCTGTTCCTTATCCATCTATCTATCTATCTATCGAGGCTGTTCATTATCTATCTATCTATCTATCTATCTCTCTGTCTATCTATCTATCTATCTATCTATCTATCTAGGCTGTTCCTTATCCATCTATCTATCTATCTATCGAGGCTGTTCATTATCTATCTATCTATCTATCTATCTATCTATCTATGCTGTTCCTTATCCATCTATCTATCTATCGAGGCTGTTCATTATCTATCTATCTATCTATCTATCTATCTATCTATCTATCTAGGCTCTTCCTTATCCATCTATCTATCTATCTATCGAGGCTGTTCATTATCTATCTATCTATCTATCTATCTATCTATCTATCTATCTATCAACGTTGTTCATTATCTATCAATCTAACTAGTTAGCTCGCTATTGGGGCTGTACATTTTCTATCTATCTATCTATCTATCTATCTATCTATCTATCTATCTATCTATCTATCGCAGTCTGTTAATTATCTACCACAATTTGTTCATTATCTATCTATCTATCTATCTATCTATCTATCTATCTATCTATCTCGGTCTGATAATTATCTGTTAAGTATTAAGTATTATTTGTTAAGTATCTATCTATCTATCTATCTATTTCAGTCTCAGTCTTTAAATTATCTATCTAGCTATTATAGTATGTTCAAGTATTTATCAATATATATATATATATATATATATATATATATATATATATATATGAAAGAAAAATACAGAAAAAACAAAATTCTGAATATGCATTATTAATGTTAAAATAAAGTCGACGTCGGACGTTTCGGTCTATTTAAGACCATCTTCATGGACATTTTCATTTAAACATAATTAACATTATAACTTATAACAATTTAACACAAAAGACGATGGACATAAGAGCCCAACTAATTCAGATCAACGGAAGAGATTTCTTTAACTGTTTGATTCCAACATCAACGGAAGAGATTTCTTTAACTGTTTATAAAAATTTTTCATTCGACTTTTTGATATTTTAATTTTTGGAAATCATCTTCGAATACGTCTTAACAACATCGCCCACGTGACGACTACGTGATGATATTTAAACAGAACGCTGATCTGTATAAAATTTCAGTTATCTGTCTGAATTAGTTGGGCTCTTATGTCCATCGTCTTTTGTGTTAAATTGTTATAAGTTATAATGTTAATTATGTTTAAATGAAAATGTCCATGAAGATGGTCTTAAATAGACCGAAACGTCCGACGTCGACTTTATTTTAACATTAATAATGCATATTCAGAATTTTGTTTTTTCTGTATTTTTCTTTCATACTGTCGGATTTATATCCATATATTTGCTTACATATATATATATATATATATTTGAATTAGGTAGGTTAAGTTTGTGTTTGCTAGTTGTTAAGTAGTCAATCAATATTTTCATATAAATCTACGTATCAATTTATATATATATATGTTTGTGGGTGGCGTGAGTGTGGTTGAGTAGAATGTTGATGTGTCGGTGTAGGTTGTGCGTGTTTTAATGTCTCTAGTATTAATGTTGTCAGAATCGCTATAGACAGGATCGCTTTAAATTGGACTCTCTCAATTCTTCGAACTCGAAATTTCAAAATTGATATTTTCACTTCTTTTCAGTGGGTGGCAATGGCAGTGTCAAATTCCCCTTTTTCTTATTTACGATTATCAAATCTCGTTTTCTTGCCGAAAATGATCTTTATTTTCTAGTAATTATTATTTTTTCTTGTTGCGTTTCTACAAATCTTTTGTAAGCTTTACAGTGACCTGCAGCATTAATAATACCTGACGCAGTTGAGAGGTGAAGTTTTGGATAAAATAAAAGTCTTACTACAGATGTTCAGAAACCTAATTCGCTTATTTAAAGCTAAGTTACAATGAATTTTCGTATTTTGGATGTAAATTAAATAAAATTGTCGATGTCATGTTAATTTGCAGTTGCAAGAAAATATGGTGGTTTTATGACCAGATAATATTATTTTATTATAGGTCTCCTTACTCAACAATTATTGCACTCCGAAAGAAGTCAATGCGAAAATCAAAGCAACGATGTTTAGTGTGTTGCAACTGGAGCTCTATACGCTACTGCGAAAAATACAGGGAAAACACATACTGAACAACTGAAATATTGCAAACAATAGACCGACGAAAAACCAACAGAAAATAACTACTATGTTTGTGTTTTGCTAGTTGTGAAGAGATAGATAGATAGATAGATAGATGTCATGTGTCCTTACCTATAACTACAGAATAAACTCTACCTAAAACTATGTATACTACGCCTCTCAAGAGAGAGGGTCGAATCAAGCCGAGATTCTCGGTTTGACGGTCGAACTCTCTGTCTCTGAGCAGAGAGGAACCCGGACGAGGCCCCGCCGAAGGGCAGAGTCTCGTTCGGGGAAGTTGACCAACCCGATCCCGTTTATACGGGTTCTACGGGTATTTTTTGGCCGAGCCTACGGGCTCGGGAGACCCACGTTAAACTCGGCCTTGTGCCACATGCAACCCTCGTGGGGGGGGGGGGGGGCTAGATACCGAATCGAGTCGAGCCGATAATAGTTCATTTCAAACCAGACTGACAGTCATACTAACACCTTCCACATCCTGTATTATTATTTCGTGTAATATACCTTCGTTATTTCTACTCTTGTGTTCGTGTTGTTCTTCCTTGGACCATAACAATAATGTACAGCCCAAATAGTTTGCTACGTAGTTAGATAGATAATGAACTCAGTAGGACACTCAACAATATTAACCCACTTCTGGAACATGGGATTAACTGTAATTTAAAAAAAAAATTATCGTATCATTGCAGTAATTTTCTATCCTAAAATATAGAAAATCACTGCAATGATACGATTGCATAAAGATGCAAATAAGATAAAGATTAGAAAAGGAGTCAAACATGGAGATAACATTGAGTCTAAATTTTATCCTGTATGCATTGAAAATATCTCCCTTTTTATGAAGTAATTAAAAATGAATGGGGAATATTTGTACCAACTATGTCTTACTGAGGATATATTACTAGTGCATAAATCATCGGCTGGACAAAATAACCTAAATTAGAAAATTCTGAATGCAGAGAGAAAAATTAACTTAAAAGAGAGAGGATGAGGAACTGGAAGAGCTTCTGAATGACATCTGCACAGTAATAATAACATCATGGAAGAAAGCATTTAACAAGTATAGAAATATAATGAGAAGTACTTTGTCACCTACAAGAACGCTGAAACGCTTTTGGACTCTATCGAAACGGGAAAGTGAGGACTGGTCACGTCTTGACTAAATATCACAGCAGTACTCTATTTTAGTCCTAATCTAGAAAGAAATTGTAAAGGTAGAGGATAGCACGAGGAATTAGGTATTTATTGGAACGGTAGAGAGAACCGACCATTTTTCTTGCCTCTTTAGCGATGGAACCTATGTACGAGTTCCCCTTGAGGTCTGGGTGAGTTTAAGGCACAATAGCCCCTGAAGGCACGGGACTTTCCTGAGGGTATATTCCATTCATCTTGACTGGTGGTAGTTCGGGGTCACCGATGATGGAACATAATTAGTTTGGTTTTCCAAGCATTGAATGTTACCATCAGTCCCCCGAAAAGGAGATATTATACAAGTATGCCAGTAATTGACCTTTATCTGCATAGAATTAATCCATTTGGTTATTTTATAAATATTTAAGGTAAAAAATAATAATTTTCTTTTTAAATCTTAACCCTAACACTAAATGAAACATTGCTATCAACTTACAATGATACTTCATAAGTTTTTTCCAGATTATGTGAGTTAGATGTTGGTACTCATTCAGGACCTATAGAATAAGACATTTTGTATTTGATTAACTATTAACAGGTATTAGCTGTAATAATTACTAAGACGTATTCAAAGATGTAGATTTATGCCTTGCCGCCACTAAGGGATTCAGTGATTTTATTTTATGCGTCGTTGTTACCAATTGAGCCAACTCTGCAGGTAGAATAACCCTGACTAAACTCAGTTCTCCTTTTGCAATGTCACCGGAAATTATTGCCAGTTTTACCTTTATTGTTTTGACTGAGCAGCGTTTAGAGAGTCAATAATGCATTGTAAATTACTATTTCTCTTGTCTACTTGATCGGCTTTGATTTCAAATGACATCAATACAATTTCCCTAAATCGAAGCCATTTAACGTTTTATGGAGGCATTCACAAAACAAGATGTTCTAAGTACATTTGCTTTTCAAAATTCAATAAGAATTGTATTATAATATCCATTATCTATACAAATTTCGATTCCAGAATGGAATTTTCAATTTAACAATTTAACGTATAGAGATACAGTTGCAACAGATTAAACATCGTTGCTTTGGTTTTCGCATTAAGCGAATTTTTTTGTAGTAATTGTTGAGCAAGGAGACCTACATTAAAATAACATTATCTCGTAATAAAACCACCATATATTTTCGCAACGGCAAATTAACCTGACATCAAAACTATCATTTAATTTACACGCGAAGGCGCCATTGATTGTAACTTAGCTTTAAATAAACGAATAAGGTATCTGAACATCTGTAGTGATGTTTTTATTTCACCCAAAAACTTCACCTGTCAACTGTGTTATCATTAATGCTGCTGGTCACTGTAAGGCTTACAAAAGATTTGCAGAAACGCAACAACAACAACAATAACAACGACAGCAATAAAAATTTCTTGTAAATAAATATCATTTTCAGCAAGAAAACGAGATTGGATAAACGTAAATAAGAAAAAGGAGAAATTTTTGGCTCTACCGTTGCCATCCATTAAAAACAATTGAAAATATTACTATTAAAATTTCGAGTACGAAGAAGTGAGAAAGTCTAAAGTAAAGCGTTCCTACAATGATATGATTCAATAACATTTATTTTTAATTACAGTTAGTGTCATAATCTAGAAGTGCGTTAATACTGCTGAGTGTCCTACTGAGTCAAACACCTTTTCACAACAAGCAAAACACAAAAATATTAGTTTGTTATTTTCTGTTGGTTTTTCGTCGGTGAATTAGTCGATTGATTGCAATATTTCAGTTGTTCAGTATGTGTTTTTCCTGTATTTTTCGCAGTAGCGTATAGAGCTCCAGTTGCAACACACTAAACATCGTTGCTTTGGTTTTTGCATTGACTTCTTTCGGAGTGCAATAATTGTTGAGTAAGGAGTCCTATAATAAAATAATATTATCTGGTCATAAAACCACCATATTTTCTAGCAACTTCAAATTAACATGACATGAAAACTTTCATTT